CTGGGAGATGAAGACCCTGGAAGTAGTTATGTGCTCATATAAAACTGCAACTTTTTTTTCCTGAGGTCTAGACAGCCTCATATATATGCAGCTTCCTTTGTTCCTAATGCTAGGAGGTTTAGGATGCAGTCCTTCGGGTAGAAGCTGTAAAAGTTGGAGCACTCATATGTGGACAATTCTTTCCAGTAGGGATTAACAGGCCTGGAATTATTCCTGAGATGAGCTGGGGGAGAAGGCCTGTGAAGTACCAATCTGCTTCTCAGGCTGCGGGTGGGCCAATACTTGCCTGTCCCTTTAACTCGTGAATGTAAGTGAGTTAGAAGCCAGACCACCAAGTAGTCATACACCCCTTACAGGGAGAAACAGGGGAACTGTGTTTTTAAGCCCTTTCTCTGCACTGTTTCAGGAGGATAAAGCCCCAGAAGTGCCTGCATGCCCATATGAAACCACGACCTTTTTCATGTAGTCTAGAGACACACGGAAGCCAGTCCTCTTTGCTCCCAGAACAGGAAGGTTTAGGATGCATTCCCTTGGGTAGAAGCTATAAAAGTTGGGATGCTCCATGTGTGGACAAACTCCTTCTAGGAGAGGAGTTTGTTTGAAATTATCACTAGGGTGAGCTGGGGGAGGAGGCTCAGGAAGTGCCAATCTGCTGCTCAGGCTAGCAGCAAGCTACTACTTGTCTGCTCCTTTAACTCCCCAGTCTAAGTCAGTAAGAAGCCAGACTGCCACATGTGCACTGAAAGAATTTGTCTGTTCCTGAGAGACACATGGAGCTGCATTTCTGGAGCCCTTTCTCTGAGTGCTTCTAGAGGATAAAGCCCTGGAAGTGCTTGTGTGCCCATATAAAATTGCTGCTTTTTCCTTGTGATCTAGAGATGCTTACATGTGTCAAATTTCCTCCCCTCCCAGAGTTGGTGAATTAGGAGCCAAACCACGGCAAATCTTAGAATTAGGGTGGTATATGTGAAGTCCAAACCCTCCTCTCCACAAGGAGTAGGTAAATGTTAAGGATTCCATTCCTGATTTTATGGTGCAGTGCCAGGGGTGGGGTCTGTGCCTGAGTGTGCCTCTCAGCTTTTCCTACCCATTCAATGTGGATGTTTCCTCAGTTGCCTGGTGGGTAAGAGTCTTTCAATTGATCTCCTTCTCTCAGAGGGAAGTGATCCATGAATAGATGTTTATATGGTGTCTGTGGGTGGAGGGGAAGTCAGGAGCTTCCTATTTTTCTGTGTGGCTCATGCCATTCCTTGATGATTTTCACATGTTAAGCCAACCTTGCATTTCTGGGATAAATCCTACTTGATCATGGTATATAATCCTTTTACTTTACTATGTTGGTGGATTCAGTTTGCTAGTATTTTAGTGGAGATTTTTGTGTTTATATTCATAAGGGGTATTGGTCTGTAGTTTGCTTTTCTTGTGATGTCTTTGTCCAGTTTTCTTATCACAGTATTTATTAATGACCTCATAAAATGAGTAGGTAAATGTTCTCTCCTCTTCTATTTTTTGGGATAGTCTGCAAAGGACTGATATTAATTCTTATTGAAAAATTTGGTAGAATTCACCAATTAAGGCATCTGGTCCTGGGCTTTTCTTTGTGGAAGTTGTTTTTTTTTTTTTTTTT